CAGAAATCAATCCATGCATCTGTAACCAATCTATCTTTGACAGAGGAGCTGAAATCAATCTGTGAAACAGAGATAGTCTTTTTTTAAACAAATGGTGCTGGAAAAACCATCTCTCCACATGCAGAAGTATGAAATTAGACCACCACCTTACACTCTACACAAAAATCCACGCAAAATGAGACAATCCAATACCATCAAATTATTAGAGAACATGGGGAGAAATCTACAAGACATTGGCATGGGCAAAAACTTCTTGGAAAAGACTATGGAAGCACAGGCAATCAAAGCTAAAATTGACACATGGGATTACATCAAGCTGAGAAGCTTCTGCACTGCAAAAGAAACACTCAGCAAAGTTAAGAGGCAACCAGAAGGAGAAAATATTTGCAAACTGTGCAACTGATAAAGGGTTAACATCCAGAGTATACACAAAGAGCTCAAGAAATTGAACAACAGCAAAAGAAACAACCCAGTAAAGAAATGGGCAAAGGACTTAAACAGGCATTTTTCAGGAGAGGAAATTCAAATGGCCAACAGACACTTGTGAAATTGTTCAGGTTCACTAGCCATCAGAGAAATGCAAATCAAAACCACAATGAGATTTCACCTCACTGCAGTTAAAATGACTAGCATACAAAAATAAGAAAACAATAACTGCTGGCGAGGATGTGCTGGAAAAGGTACTGCTGGTGGTAATATAAACTTGTGCAACCACTGTGGAAGACAGTATGGAGATACCTCAGAAATCTGAATATAGATCTGCCATATGATCCAGCCATTCCTCTCCTGGGAATTTACCCAAACCAAAAGAGATCAGTACACAAGAGATATCTGTAACCCCATGTTCATTGCAGCACAATTCACAAAAGTTAAAATATGGAATCAACCCAGATGTACATCAACTAGTGACTAGATAAAGAAATTATGGTATATATACACTATGGAGTACAATTCAGGTGAAAAAAAAAAAAAAACATGAAATCCTGCCTTTTAGAACCAGATGGTCACAACTGTAAACTATTATACTTAGTGAAATAAGCCAGTTCCAAAAAAAACAAATATATTTTCTTCCTGACCTGATGGAACTAATGGAATACCTGAAATGTAACGTATTCAGTTGAAATAGACATTTGGAGAATAGATAATTGTTTATAACCCTTGTCTCTTCAATTGAGGAACAATCTTTAGTTTTGCTTTGTTTTATTTATCTTCATACTATTTGCTGAACTCCTCTGCTTAGAGTGGGGTTAACTATAAGATCACTGTGTAAACTGATAATAGATCATTGTAAAAATTAAGAAAGGGAATATATGCGGGAGGAAGGCTGGAATGCAGGCAGGAGGGAGGGGAAGCCCCACTTTGTTCCTAAATCTGTATATATAAAACATATGAAACTTGTATAACTTAAATTTAAAAAGAATATAAGCATTAGTTATAGAAGAAACTAAATGGCATTTGCATCTGGCTACTCAGCTTATCCAGGATATCTGCTCACTCTCCTCCCTATTGTTTAACATCTGTTCCTGGATGTCTAGGATATGGGACCTGTAGCCCGATTCCAGAGCTCTTCTGTGCCTTGTTATTCTAAATCCTGCTGTCATATTCTGGGACTTTTTTTTTTTTTTTTTTTTGGACAGGCAGAGTGGACAGTGAGAGAAAGAGACAGAGAGAAAGGTCTTCCTTTTGCTGTTGGTTCACCCTCCAATGGCCGCCGCGGCCAGCGTGCTGCGGCCGGCGCACCGCACTGATCCGATGGCAGGAGCCAGGTACTTATCCTGGTCTCCCATGGGGTGAAGGGCCCAAGTACTCGGGCCATCCTCCACTGCACTCCCGGGCCACAGCAGAGAGCTGGCCTGGAAGAGGGGCAACCAGGACAGAATCCGGTGCCCCAACTGGGACTAGAACCCGGTGTGCCGGCGCCGCTAGGTAGAGGATTAGCCTAGTGAGCAGTGGCGCCCATACGGAATGCTGGCACCACAGGCAGAGGCTTAGCCCACTATGCCACAGCAGTGGCCCTTGGGGTTCTTTTTTGTTTTTGTTTTGTTTATTAAAGAGGCGTCCACACATAACTCATCCCTTACAACCCATATAGCCCTTTAATATTCTTCCTTCACATATTATTTCAGGAAAAAAACAAAAACAAAAACAAAAACAAGCTTTTTCATACTACCTGCAAAGTTTATTACTTTTAACTTCACCACTGACTTCCCAAAAAAGTGGCAGGATCTGCTTAATTCATTAGCTTTTGGCAAAGCTGCTCAAATCCTAGTTTCTTTCACACTCTACTTTGTATTTCTTCCCTTTGACCTTTCCTTAAGCCTTCAAGTAATGAGAGCTTTTGGTGTAGCAATCAAGATATCAGGTACAATTTAGATGCAGGGCACACACCGCAGAGAAACTTTAGAGGGCAAAGCAAAGAATACTGCTGGTATTTTGGGCTACGTTGGGCCTAAACTTCCATTCCAGGCTCTTGCATTCTAAGTACAGGCACAAACACAACGTGCAAAGTCATAGCTTAGTTACAAAGTGAGGAAAGCACACACAACGTGGGCATTGTTTGGGGAGAGTGGGTCAAGAAAGGATGAGAGATTTTCATACCCTGCTCGCTCTGGTTCTGGAGACAGAGCAGGCTTCTTAAGCTTAGAAAGGGAAATGTTTACGTGGTATCACCCCCAGGTCTGGGATAAAGGGAAGTACTTCCTGGGGAAAGGGTCCTCTGATTCGCAGGTGGGTAAGAGTACACAGAGCAGGGAAAGTGTGACCTAGCTATCTCAAATCACTGGGAATGATGTAGGCTTCTGTAGTCCTGGCTATTTAGGTTTCTATCTTGTGTGCATGACGAATGAGAATATGGACAAGGAAGAGTAAGCAATGTTTACTCTTGCAAGTTAGCTAGAGGAGACTCCTGAGCAGGATGTTGTTGAAAGCAGGAGGGTCTGGGATTACATGTCCTTCAGGGCTATGGGGAAGTTTTTACACAGAGGCCTTTGAAGCAAGTCGTCCAGGGGTTCTCCCCATCCTACTTCCCTTCCTGCCTTAGTCTCTGGTCCCAAGTCCTTATCTCCAGTTCTCTTTATCTGGCTAGTTTCCAGTCCCCCGTCTTGTCATTGCAAGACCTATTTACATGTAGGCTCTTTGTCCCTAGCTAGCCATCTCAAAAACCAAATTCACTGTCTCCTATCTCTACCAGGAATGCTGTTATTGGGAGAAAGATTGTGCCAAATCCAAGAAATGCTGGCATAAGAACTCCCCAAAAGTTCACCTTTACTAAGTAAAGGAAACAATGTAGCTGAGTGAGGTTAAAGGTGTAACACTTGTTTGTATAAACTCTCCAACCACCATGTAAGTGTCTTGGTGCCCCATTTGGTATAATCCCTGGGAACAGTTACAAGGTCATTCAGTTGGTTTTCCTGACCTGTACCTTTTTAAGTTATACCTATAACTGGTACTTTTCCTGCCTACTCATTTCCAATGAACAGAGTAAGTGGTTCAATTTTATACCCCACTTAAATAATACAACTTTTTGTTGTTGTTGTTGACAGGCAGAGTGGACAGTGAGAGAGAGACAGAGAGAAAGGTCTTCCTTTTGCTGTTGGTTCACCCTCCAATGGCCGCTGCGGCCGGCGTGCTGCGGCCGGCGCACCGCGCTGATCTGAAGGCAGGAGCCAGGTGCTTCTCCTGGTCTCCCATGGGGTGAAGGGCCCAAGCACTTGGGCCATCCTCCACTGCACTCCTGGGCCACAGCAGAGAGCTGGCCTGGAAGAGGGGCAACTGGGACAGAACCCGGCGCCCCGACCGGGACTAGAACCCAGTGTGCCGGCGCCACAGGCGGAGGATTAGCCTATTGAGCTGTGGTGCCGGTCCAATAATACAACTTTTAAATTTAAATGATAGAAGCTTAACTAAGTCTATTAGTCCCAGGAGCATTACCTTTTCCAAAGAAACACAAGGGGAAGAACAACTTTTCATAACCAAGGGTACAGTAGTGTCCTGCCAAGAGGCACAAGTTTTTGTTGATGTGACTTCACTTGGCACAAAAACATAATTAGAAGTTCACAGTGATAACCACATGCTCACTGCATAGAAAATACAAAAGCTGAGAAATACTACCAAATGCTTTGAGATTTTCTATTTCTGCTGCCCCTATAAAAAAAAAGAACTGCTATGTCTGTCCTTTTGTCATTAAACAGGGGGCATAGTGATTTTCATTTTCTCTCCATTAGGTTACAAGAGGATGAAGAGAGCCAGGAATGCCAAAACAGCAAGCGCAGCAAATATGAGCAGGAACTTGATGTTAGCTCCAAGGAAAATTTGAGAACCTGATGACACTCTGAATGCCTTCAGGAAGACGTCTCTACCCAGTTTCTCTCACCCTCCTCCCACCCATCCCAGAGTTATAATCACACAGAAATGCAAGCAAATGGCAAAGGCCACTTAATACTCTCCCAGTTGAGAAACAACATCCCAGGATATGGTTGACATTCTCCCCCTGAACTATCATTTATAATCTCAAGATCTGATTAATACATTAAGGCAAGAGTAATTCAGGCATCTGTTTTAAAAGTACATGTACTGAATAATTACTTGATCCATAACAAATTAAAACTTCCTTCCAAAAACAGTAATTGCCAGTATAGTTGCCAACAAAGCATTAGAAACTCTTGCCTATAACACACTGTACAGGTTCACATATCCCTTCACCTACTTAGGGACCAGGCCTCTTCATTTCTTCAATTACTATCACTTCCTTCCTGAATGCATCTGAACTCCTACAACTTTATTGTTTATACCCTATTCCTATTGTCCCACTCTTATTTCTCAATAGTTTTTTGCTTCTTAACATATTATTAGGTTTGTGTTCCTCAGTATCTTTGGCCAAAGCACCAGAATCTGTAAGAAATGAGACCTGATAACACTTTTATGACTAAGGCTAAAAAAAAAAAAAAATGACCAGTGAGATTAATAAAAGATAGTAAATTGAGAAACCATCACACTAAAAATGCAAGTTCTCAAAGCAGTACATTTTATTTTACAGTACACAACAAACTCCCCAATTTTTCTGTCACGATGTGGGGGATAGCTTCAGATTGCTTTTTGTTGGTCACCCATGCTGAGCAACATTTTTGGATCTTCAAAACACTAAAGAATCAACAGTCAGTTTTTTACATGAGTTCACAAGTCCAACTTCCTTCCATTTATCTTAGCATTTTGGCATAGAATTCTTTGAGGCAGAAACGAAGAGATGAAGGAGTTTCCTTTACAACTTCACATATGCGACTAAAGTAGATGATAGCATGTTCTCTTATTCTTGTCTAATTGGCAGTGATAGTGATGCCAGAAACTGTGAAAGGAAGGCTTTCAGTTACTTTCTCCTTACCACTTTCCAAAAATGTACCCCCCAACCCTGCTTGAAGAAAGGGTGCTGTGTCTAGCTGATACATTAAAAAGTCTAATATTAATAAAAATGTACAAAGTTGAAACTAACAAGTATTACCCCAAATCCCCTTTTACATTGTTCCACTCACCAATTATACTTTGCCATTATTCCCTTCTCCATTTACGGATGTTATTGTGGGCTTGCCACGTGAACTAGTTCAGATACTTTGAAAGAATTTACAAACTACAATGAACAATAGTCTTTTTCCTCTGCAGCAAATGTTAGCTTCAGCTTTAAAGAACTCTTATGAAAGTGGGTCACATTGGTTCAATTAATAAATTCCATTCCTTTCTGAACCAGGGCTTAGTTGATAGCCATTCAGACAAAAATTTTTCTCAAAAGGCATACAGCAAATTAGGACCTGATGTCAACAATAATCAGTTATTGGAACTGCATTAAACTTTTAAAAAGCAATCCCAAGTTATAACTGGAGCTAGTAATGCTCTCAATACAGAATCCAGAACAAAGGGCAACTGCCCTTAGAACAGATTTGACCTTTCCTTCACTCTCCCTCCTGTCCCACCCTCTGTGAGTGATTTAAAAATAGAAAAGGTCAAATCCTAGTCTGGCATAGACTTAGAGTACTTTACTTTTTTTTGTTCTGTCATTTCCAATTTGTATTTTATGGAACTTAAGATTTAAGCAAGCTTTCTTAAGTTTTAAGCTATTTTCATCCACTGACATTCTTTTGATGATAAGAACATTTCTATGGTATATATTATGAAGCTGTTGTAAAAGAAATCATGTCTCCATCTCCATTTTATTATGTGCTGAGGATTGTTTCTGAAATAGATCCATGTGTCAGCACATAAAGGGTCAAAGAATTGCAAATAGACCACAACTGTAAATGCTTTTCAATACCAACTGTGGCTCAGGTATGGGTGGTTCCCCAGTGAGACTGAGATTTGGGAATTAGTTGGTTGGCATCCCTCCTTCTGGCAAACAGTGGTCTTAGTCATTTTTCATGAGGGATGAGCCGTCCATTACAAGAAGAGTTCCTGCAACTCAAGGAGCAAGTTCTCTACAAAACCCAGCTACCTGCTGATTGCAGTGGCCAGAGCGGAGGAAGAGATATGGAGTAGGAATCAAACCACACAATGTTGTTTAGGGACAAAATCATGCCTGTAATCAGGAAACAGGTCAAAAGCAAAGTTTTAGAAATGCTCTAGGCAGGAATGCAAGTTTGTAATGTCTCTGAGGCAACTGAGAGCCTACCAAAGGATTCTTTATCTAGTAGGCACCCAGATATATTTGTAGAATGACCAAGTGAAAAAAATGAATGAACATTAAACTACCTCCTATATTTTAATCAATGAGGTAATTGATAAGCAAGTGTCTTTCAGTCAAGATCTTTTGTGTTTTTTTTTTTTTTAATCTAAGATTTACCACAATGGCTTGACATAATAGATACTTCTGTTTAACAGAGTATCACTCCATTTGTTTTCTTATTGCATCTCCAAATCAGGCTAAGTGCCTTTGGAACAAATCTATTTAATTTGGCGCTTAGCATCATTTTCATCAATATTTGTATGAATGCAAAAATAAAAAAGTCCTCTTTTATTTCCACTCTACAAAGCACGCCAAAGAGAAGGAGATCTATTTATTTAATCACTCCTTCTCTGTGTCTTACAGTCACAGCTGCAGTGTGAAGTTTTTCAGTTAAGAAAGGTCTGCAGTCTTTTATGAAATTTGCTCTTATTACGTTTTTTCTTGTGGTTCCACCATAAGCTGGTGGGTATAAAGTACATTTTGGCCTAGGCTTTTTGCTTTTCTTCATTTCCTCAGCACTTAGTACGTTCTTCAGATTTAACACATCTTTACTAAAAATAGCAAATATGAAACACCTTTTTTGTTGTTGTTTCTCAAGTGTCTTCCTGACTCTAAGCCAGGTCAGTCTGCCAATACCTTTTAAAACTAGTCCTTTCATCTTGATTCTCATCTTAAACTAATGAACTATAATAAAAGCAGAATTGAAGGACATTGAAGGATTCCTGCATCCTTTTAGGAGTGTTCTGGTTTGAAAGGAGACAAATGAGCAAGCAACTCTGGAGTTTCCTGGAACCAAGAAAAATGTCTCTGTTTTATGTTGAATGAATCTTGCCTTTTTTCATTTCCCTTAGATCTCCAAGGCAAGTAAATGGGTCTTCTGAACCAGATTTACATAATTCATCAACCATCACACCTTGCAGAGAGCAGGCACTCATATATTTATTTAGCCAAAAATCAAATTAAAGATGGTTTTCGATCTTCAGCTATGATCAGTAGTCTAAGTGCTTTAGACTAGGTCCATATCACCTCATCTCTTATGCTCAGGACCTGGAATGGGGTATTCCACATGAACAATGTTTATCAGGTGAATCAAAAAGCAAACTTGAGCCTTTCATTTTTCTCCTTCATCATCTCTACGCCACGCCATGGTGAATCTACTTCACCTTCATTGTCAGCATGGAGCATTCAAAAACTGGATGGAAAGACAACACTTTGATTTTTAACAAAAGAATTTCCATCATTTCTATAAGGAGCCAAGTATTCTGATGAACAGGATTTCATCATTTCACTTAATTCAGCATTACCACAGCCTTACACAAATCCTTTTTCCCCATGTTTTCATCATCATCATCAAATAAGTTTTTTAGTAGTTAAGTAACTTCTGCTCCAGATCTCACAACTATTATTTTATTTCCTCCTGTGAGATCACACAATGGTAAGTTCATTTTTACATAATAGGATATGCAATTCTGAGCTTCACAGAAAGTAATCTGTATTCATTAAGCCAACAGTTAATTCCTATCTTTATAGAACTGTAGGCTTTGTGAATTACATAGAGATCTCCATTGCAGCTTCAATAATATTGGCAATGAATTCTTGTAACCCCAGTTACTATGTCTAGGGATAATAGTAAAGAGTATTCATTTAGCAAATTTTGCTAATGTACACATAGCCTTTTATAAATGACATTATTTTCATACACATTCCTCTGCTACCCAGGACACAATAAAGATGGTTTTATCTTTGGGGCTGGCGTTGTGGCACAGCTGGTTAAGCCTCCACCTGCAACGCTAGCATTCTACATGAGCTCCATTTTAAGTTCCGGCTGCTCAGTTTCCAATCTGGCTTCCTGCTAATGTGCCTGGGAAGGCAGCAGAAGATAGCCCAAGTACTTGGGCCCCTGCCACCCACGTGGGAGAATCAGATGGAGTTCCTGGCTCCTGGCTCCTGGCTTCAGCCTGGCCCTGGCCTAGACCCAGCAGTGTGGCCATTTGGGGAATAAACCAGTGGGTGGAAGATCTCTATTTCCTTGCCTTTCAAATAAATAAAATCTTTTTTTAGATAAAAAGATGGTTTATCTTTGCATCCTCAATGCCTTGCAAAGGAGACTGGTGTATATTAAATTATTACTATCCACTCTGCATTCATAAGACATTGAACACTTTACATATTATATTTAGCATGTTCAATCCTCAGTCAACTTTTCTGCTTTATTTGCATAGTATAATAACTGTGATTTAATTTTTATAAACCTAGTATTCAGCACCAGGTGAGAAATAAACTCCATAGTAACATTTTTATGGTGCTTTAGACCTCACAAAATGCTAACGTATGTACTGCCTTATTCTCAGCTGCAGGCACAATTGAATACAAAACTGTATTTCCTCACTGCCTGTAACAGTGAGTTCACACAATAAGCAATTTGACATGGAATCATTCCTTTAGTAAGTATTTAAGCCCTTAGTTTGTGTAACTATCTTTCTCCTTGTGGTTCAAACACAAATGAGAGTTTTGTAGAAACAATGCCTATCTTGTGGAACGTTTTATTCATACAGAAACATCTGAAGTCTTCAAATTACATAGCATTTTGTAGTTTAGAAATCTCATTCACATTCATTACGTTCCATTAGTATGGAAAACATATCAGCAATAATTTAACTCAATCTCACCGGGAAAGTCTTTATTGATTAGATCAATTGATATCTTATTCCTTGTGTCTAAATTTTTACTACATGAGAGAATCACTTGGGAAAACTTATTTTGGGCGTTTTAGTGCCCAAAACAATACTGGGTATGTAAGAAGTAGTTAATGTTCATTCATTCATAAACATGTAGCTCACTGATATTTTGTATAGTGCTTTAGTTTGCAAAGCACTTTAATAGGCACTTCCTTTCTGAAACTTTTAGTCTGTGAGAAGACTCCTCCAGCATATTTGCCACAATGTAGAGGATCACGGTAGGTTAATCCCGTTTGTTTGTAGTATAGTTTATAGTTTAAAAGCCATGTCCATGTGCTTTCTGTTGCCTAGAATACTGAACTTTTACTCAAAATCAAAAGAGCAACAGAAACACAACTATACAAATTCTTCATTTATCCAAAACTTAATGTCTTATGTCTGCATAGTACTATGTAGTACTACATTCTTTTGAAAAAGCACTTTTTTATTCATGCTGCTTTAAATCTTTGTATCTCCAATGCTTAGCACAGGATTCACAGAATAGGCAGCCAATATTCACTCATCAATACTGAAACTCTTAAGTTTTTGGCAGTGCTTCAAAGAAGTTTATAAAACATATTCACACACTTTTCTACAAGTCACCAGGATATGACCACACATCCTTAGAGACTAGCACAAGGACACAAACAGAAAAGGAAATAATATTCAGAAATATTCTATGGCATTTACAACAGAAGTTGGTAAACTTTGAACTGCAGATCAAATCCACTTGGCTCACAAGGTAGGAATGGTTCTTACCTTTTAAAAAGGTTGTGTAAAAAAAAAACATGCTGAGAGCTTATGGCCCCAAAAACCTAAATATTTAAGATCTGACCTCAGAGAAAATGTGTGATGAGCATTTACATAATGCTTCACAAGAGGCACTGTATTTTTAAATGTTAATTGTCTGTGACTGCCAATATGCTATTAATGAGGTTGCCTTGCTTGTTTTTGTCTTGTGTTTTACAGTGTTTAAAAACACATTATCAATCATTTACATCAACTTCCTTCACAAAAGGGGGAGAATTAGTGATCAAGCAAAGGATTAAACCATTATATCATCTCATGTTCTGTCATCTTTAAACCTACAAGTGGATGTTAAACTCAGAAATAGGGTTTGTGTGGTCCACCAAATTATCTGGCCTTTACAATGAGCTGGGAGTGTAAGCCTCACTCTGGGCAGGCAATCACCCATCTGTAACCATTACTAGAAGTTCCAGATCTCAGAAATCTGGATAAGCTCAAAGGAAGGTGCTGTTGGCTAGTGCTTTTCAGAAGGCTGGTATGATCTGTTTATTTCTTGTCTAATTCTTCTCAATGGCCAGAGCATCTCTTCACATTTTCTCTAGATAGCCTGGCACTTCTTTTTACCACAACAGCTTTTGTCTTCTCATCAGCCCAAGGCTTCTGAGATTAAAAAAGAAGACAGAAATGCAATATAACCTATACAGATGCTTGCTCCTGAGTGTAATACCAAAATCCAGACTAGATATTGATTGAATTTTGTTGTCTCTCTCAAATGGAATAGACATGAAGAGAAATGAAAAAAATGAATGGCTAAAAACTACAACAAAAACTGGCTCAAGACTGGCCCATGCATATTACCACTCTAAAGACACATTCCTTTCTGAAGGACATCACAAAAGAAGCAGGCTTAATGGCAATATGATAATTGGGAGGAGAAAATTCAAAATATCTAAGAGTAGAAGGTACAACAATAGAAAAGAGTTGGGGTTTAGGGTTCTCATCTTGGGACTTCCCCGGGTTTCTCCCCTCCTGGGCTCTGGTTAAGGGAACTTCAGCTTCCAACCTTTAGTCAGGAGATCACTGTTTCGCTTGGGTCTTCTGTCCATCTGGGGTGGCTTGAGTCCTGGGTGTTGTTTGTGTCTGCAGCCTTCCATCCATGGGCCTTAGGTCTTCAAACTATAACTTGGTCTTAGGCTTTGTATTATACATCTCAGTTTTTAAGCTTCCCATGTGTCCATTCCAGCTCTTGGGCCTCCAGCCTCCACCCTGGGTCTTTGGCCTTCTGTCCAACTCAGACCACTTTCTGTACATGTTAGTTTTCAAAGTTTCTGTTTGGTTTCAGGCCTGAGGGTCTCATCTTTTTTGGGGTCTTGTATTTTCAACCTTAGTCCTCAAGGTTCAAGGTCTAAACCATCTGTCTTTCACTTTGCGTCTTTTATCCATCATGCACCTTCCACCTTCTGTCCATTTGTGGTCTTGGGTTTTACTTCAGTTCTGATCTTAGGGTGCTGTTTTGGTCTTGATCATCTCATTAGGTAACTTGGCATAAGAAACAGCTTCTACACTGTTCATTTTGATAGCTGACATTCTGCACCTATTGGGAAGGGGTTAGGAACCCCCTCAATCACACATGACATGCACATATATGCACACATGCCCACATACACAAAGACAGATCCAAGGAGAAATTACATAAAAATCAAAGAGAGGCAAACATAGAGGCTGAAAGAGTCAAAGGTTAATAGAGAGGGGAAAAGCAGAGAAGAAACACAAATAAGCAGAGATTGATGCTGAGGTAGACAATTACAAATAGCAAAGAGACACTTAGGCACACAAAGGAGGAAAGAGAGAAAATAGCCCAAGAGGGGCAAAAAGAGAAGGTAGAAAAGAGAAATGCAAGAAAAGGAGGAGAAACATCAGAAAGGAGCTCAGAATCAGAGAAACATGAAACATCAAGCCAACACGAAGTGGAAGGGTCACAAAGAGACAAAGAAAGATAGGTAGAAGAAGAAAGTGGCAAAAAAGCACATAGCGTATGACCCAGAGAGTAGAAACAAAAGGAAGACATAGTGAAAGAAGAGCCAGATGTAGGAGAGCAAAGAGTTAACAGCAACAAAGTGGACAAACTAGAGAGAGACAACAAATACAAGGCAGAGATCACACTTAGGGACAAAAAGAGAAAATGAAGCAAAAGCACACATAGAAGAAATTAGCAAGAGAAACATGGAAATGGATAACAATCACTTTAGAGAAGAGCAAAGCCGCACAAGGAAGAAAAAAGACAAAGAGAAATACACACTTAGGAGCGAAAGATAAGCAAAGGGCACATATTCAGGGGAAGAGGGTAAGAAGTAGAAGAGACATACACAGTGAGGGGCACAATAAGCACAAAAAGAAGACAACAAAAGAAAAGCAAAAAGTGTCATTAATAACTACAATAGGTTATTATTACTACCAATATTATTTATACTACTACCAATAACAGTTATTACTAAGAATCATCATCACCAACACAGATGCTCTTTGATTTGCAAATTTTTACCTAGAGATTTTTTAAATAGAACCAAGGCATGCCAAGTAGGCCTGATACCAGATAATGCTTGTGGTCACTTGTATTGTGCCAGATGAACTTCTGCAACTTTTTGGGATGCCTTTTGCTAGCCATGGGCCAAGCACTGTTAAGTATTTTACATACATGATTGATTTACTCCTCAACAAGAACTCAAGTCTAATCAGAGATCGTCCTTGCCAGAGGTCACACACCTAATGAGTAACAGAAGGGATTTAAACACAGAATGTGTGCCTCTTGACATTCTGCTACAAGTATTTACTAGAATTTCCATAAGATCCAGACGAGGTGTCACAGATGAGTGACAATTTCAGTAAAGGGTGCTTAGATAGCACTTAGTCAATCCCCATGTTGTACAGCTTCATCTTTCCCCAATCCCTTTAGAAAACCAACTTTGTTTTCAGATCCTTCACAATTACAATGACTGCCTCAGAGTCTAGGATTCTTTCTACAGTACATCTTAATCTGTTAGATTCTTCTCTGACACAACTGGTAAGTAGACCGGAGTGTCTGAGCTGTTCAATGAATCCAGTTGGTAACATGGGAGAGTGGTAATCTCCCCATTTCACATTCATCCCCACCTCAAGCGGGACTACCACATCCCATCCAATAGTAATTCCCAACAAACAGCTTATTAGTTCTGGAGCAATCCCCACAGGACGGCAAAACCAACAACTTACTTCATTCTGCTACTCTGAAGTGCTACATTGTCAGCAAGCATGTTGATCTTTAGGTAGGAAGGCATCTTTTGGCATGTTCAAATTTCTTGATTCTGCGGAAGACCCAGCTCTTTGCACTGATTTTGGGAAGGGTGATTTGGCAGCCATGAAAGGAACATTCAAGAGCTACAAAAAACAAGAGAGAAATCATTTAAATGAAATGAAGTATTGAGTACTGTGCTAGAGTTACAGAAAAGTCAAAGTAATGAGCTATAGAAGGTGTTTCCACGGAGCTTATAAAACTGTGAAATTAAAGCTTCTGGCTCCTCATTCAACAGAATAGGAAACTACACATATATGGAAAAATATCTTGCTGTGTGTCACTTGATGAGTCACTAGAGACACTATCTTATACATTTAAGTTCAGAGTGGAGGAACTTTTCTCTGCCAAGGGCCATTTCAATATTCATAACATCATTTGCAGACCATAAAAAATTATCAACCTTTGAAATTACCCTACTGTACATTTATTGAATTTTGTGTCCCACCTGTAGTTGCCTTGGCAGAGCCAGACCAATTGGTTTTGCAGGCCTTATATGGCCCACAGGCTGGATGTTCCTCACTCCTGCTTTCATTAAATGACTAAGTAAAAAATCTAAATATTTAAGATCTGACCTCAGAGAAAATGAAGGAAAAAGAAGAACGTCTAAGAAATGACTGTCTCAAGTTAGCTTTACTTAAGCCTCCTGATTCAGGACCACCAAAACACAGTCATAGAGCACCATTTCCAAACTAGATAATGCTGCTCTCTGAGATAAATGTGAGTACCTCTGGGAGGCAGTCATTTCCACAGTAAGAAAATCCACATAGGGTACTAGCCTGAGGAGAAAATTACCTATAATAAATATTCTGAGATAACCCTCACCATAGCTTTCTAAGTCCTAGGCTTTCTAACAAGCTCTGCTGGTAACTCTATTTCTAAATCTATGCATCTTTCTAATCAATTATGACATTGCAAGGGTTCTAACTCGTGAAAACATCTCATGGAATTTATGGGGCAGCCACTCTTTATGAAGAATGCTGCACAATGCCAATATAGTCAGGATTTACTGCACTGAATGGTCACCTTCATCTCCCAACCCTCATCCTTATAATCAGCCTCACCCATCACTGACCTAGAGGACACAGGGAACTCATCCTTTAGTTCTTGCCCAATGATAGAAAACTGTGTCATTTCCCATGTTTTAATTCGTAGCTACGTGGCATCCATCAATCAGCAGGCACAGAGCAAAAAGCTACAACTCTTATTTATCTTCTCAAATAGCTTGTTGTGTGTTATATCCCATGGACATCCCAAGGTGTTGTAATGTGGCAGTTGTTGTCCATGTTCTCCTAAAAGAAAGAATAATTGGTTTGTAGGCATGTACCACATCTTATAGTCCCACCCTATATACCCTAACTCATGAAGCCTACTGCCTTCTTCGTATCATCACTTTCACCAATGTCATACCCAGTTGCTTCCCAGGTTAGTCAGGAAGCTGTTTTTACCAAAGTAGATTCAGGATAATGATGAGTACAATCTCAGTGGAAAGCTAAGTACAATGTATACTAGAAAACAAGATCAAAATCAAGACTACTTATTATGCTTTTAGAAACAACTTACCCACCTTGACACAAGGTGGTTGTCTTTCAGATTTCATCTTCTTATCTGGGCCCAAGGAAGTATCTTGGTTGAACCTCATGACCTAGGGTTGTTGCCCAGTGCTAGTGAGCTTTTCCCCTGGAGGATCCTCATGCCCCATCTCCACCTAGGGATCGTCAAAGGGAATGGGTCACTAACACTGTAAAGCAACAAGCCTATTCTTCCAGGAAGATCTGGAGAAGAGACAAAGGAAAGGTAAATTATTGAAATGGAGTATCCTGGCAAAGTTTATCCCAATGGGTCATCAATAGTTGAATTGCATCATGTTTGCCCCCTACTTTTTGTTTGTATGGACTAAGGAGTAGACATTTGAGCTCTGTATTCTAGCTATCAGCCTAGCAACCTGAGAATTCAAATATTCATTCCAGTTACATTCCATGTAAGTTCTCTCATCTTCAAAAGCAATTTAGAGCTGAATAATTACCAAAATTCCCACATTGTGATTTATCCTCTCATCTCTATTAATGAGCAATCACTTAGAATATAGATTATTAATGCCCTTGTGTTCTCATCAGAAAAGATAGTGGCAGTCAAGAAATCAAGGGGTTGAAACTAACAGAAGTTAAAGCCTTTTCAACCCAGAGATCCATAAAGCCATTCAGAAAAATTCCTATATGGTTTGATCCTCTGCACTCACTAAGAATTCTCCACATCGCCTCAAGCTTCTTTGTTCCATAAAGCACCATTTTAAAAACTAAACAAGTATCTGTCTGTCACCTAGTTTTTCAGCATTGCCCTCTTGTAATTTTTACTTTATGTGGTGCCATCTTGTAATACTGCAAAGGTAAATACATAGAACTGTTTTCTACTCAATCCATATGGTCCATTTCTTGAATGACTTGTATAAAATGGCACCACCAGCGTTCTGAGTTCTGAGTTCTAGGATATTCAGAGAAACCAAAAGTGATCACGGACCCTAGTCATGACAATAGCTAACTATGCAAGAGGAACACCAGATACAAAAGACTAAGGAGCCGATAAAGAGCTTATACAGGCCTCAGGCTTCTCCTATTCGACCTTTTCAGCAATTTCATTGTTTTACAAATTAAAAAACTCTCAACTTCTTAAAACAAGGTAATGGCAGTGACAGTGCAGTCAGCCTGCCAAAGTAGAACTGGTACAGACTAAATTGGTCCTATTCATAAACAAAATCCTATGTAATTATATCAGTTGATGAGAATAATTTAAAGGTCTACCAATCCAAAGGCTTGGTTGAGATCTATCTCCCCAGTTAGCCATCTGATGAGAAAGAAAGCTATTTATTGCTTTGCTTTCCCATTCTTCATTCATAAAATGGGGATCAAGTATAACTGTCCTTAAAGACCTCTCAGGAGCCCATCACTGAGGGATACATAAAATAGGCCAAACTCAAGTTAAAATGTATGTGTATGTGAACAAAAACAATGTATAGGAACTGAGGATGCCCATATTCTGCTTTTAAAAGTAGAGATGTAGAAAGTTAAAGCCAAAGACAAAAGTCCCACAAGGGTAAGCTTGGCAACTACCTTTTTCTCCAGGCAACTTGCAAGCCATCCACTTAGAATAGTTGGAACTGGTCTGGAGTCTCAAAAGTAAAGATCTGCTGAACTTGAGGTCTCTTGCAGCTGCTCTCAGTCCTCAGGTCTCACATAGTTGGGAATGACCCTGAGAAGAAAGATGGACCTCAGCAGTCTACCAAAGCACCAGTAGGATACCAAACCCCAACCAAAAAAAACCAAAACCAAAAACAAAAAAACCACCAGGAAGTAAAACCTGAAGCATTAGACATAGGTATGTTCCAGCCTGTTTGGTCTCCCTAAACACTGACAACATCACAGGAGAATTAAGCACATGAACAAAAAGCACTCCATGAAAATATGGTCAAACCTTAAGGGCTGACTAAATTTGTGGTTATAGGACTTCTTGTTGCTGAGAATCCTTAAACACATAAGGCAGCAGAGCAAGCAGTTGCTACCAACATCTATAGGTGCAACTGTCCTGACCATTTTCAATAATTGGCTACATGATTTTACCATAGCATAGGAGCTCACTTAAGCAGATATAAGCCATGTTTGCAACCGTGGAAGCACTTTGTATGATACAGTATGGTACGGTATGGTAAACCTTCATTAAACATAGGCTTCCAGGTAACTGGTCAGGAATTATCATATTATAAGGACCTTTATGTCAATGCCAAACAAATCTTAAGATGAGTATATGGAAAATCACTAACTCATCTCTATATTCTCTAGATAAGATGCTTAGTAAAGCCAAACAGTGTTCTATGATGCCCTCAATAGGAGCAGAACAAGCTTCAAAATCTCTTGGCAACAACCTTCCTATCTTTACTGAAGATTAGATACTTCACCTCCAAATAGTCTTCCAGTTAAAAATGACAGATCATGCATATGTGTGTATATATATATATTTAGTTCTTCATGAAGCCCCACTAATGGTGGCAAATGAACACTCTATGTGCAAGCACATTGATATAAAGAAATTTTGAACCCATAATCCAAGCCAAGCTCAAGTCCACTATCTATTTCTGTTATCTAAAAGAAAATAACTATTCCAGTCTCCCTAGATCTTCTGAACACATTTACAGAGAACGGCTGCTTTAGCATTAAAGCTGTCTAGTTTTGTTAACATGGTAATGACATATTTAAGGAACATTCCCTTTCAGTTAAAAGGAACCTAAGGCCAGAAAGTAGATACATTCTGGAACAGCAAACAGACCATACATTTCACTATGGTTCAATATTCATTGACAAAAAATTTGAAACTTAATCTGTCGGGGCCAGCGAGGTCGTACAGTGGATAAAGCCACCGCCTGCAGTGCTGGCATTCCATATGGGCACCAGTTAGAGACCTGGCTGCTCCACTTCCGATCCAGGTCTCTGCTATGGCCTGGGAAAGCAGAAGATGGCCCAAGTCCTTGGGTCTCTGTACCATGTGGGAAAACCAGAAGAAGCTCCTGGCTCCTGGCTTCGGATCTGCCCAGCTCCAGCTGTAGCAGTCTTTTGGGGAGTGATATAGCAGATGGAAGATCTCTCTCTGCCTCTGGCTCTCTGTAACTCTCTGCCTTTCAAATAAATTATAAACACACACACACACACACACACACACACCTTGATCTGTCACCTTGCAACCCAACAAATTGTCAACATATTCTGAGTATAATAACCAAGTAGCAGAGCCACCAGCTGGTTTGAATAACTGCAAGATCAGATTCATGATAGCTAGAAGGACAATTAATGACCTTGTTATCCAGCATTTTTCATCTGACAGACTGGAAGCCCAGAGGATGAGACTGCTTCAACTTAACTAGTAGGTGGCCAAATAGTACTTAAACCCACATCTTCTCCCAACGCAGAGGTTTTTTAACTTTAGCTCTATGCATGTATTTTCAAGGGGTATTGGAGCTTTCTACAAAATTTTTATCACTTTTTCATTTCACTGTCAAGATTATCTGGATCATCTCATAATAGAGGACTGCATTGCCAGACTGATGGCAAATGGTGGAGTTTTTGTTTAAAAAAAAAAAAGACACTTGGACAAAAGAACAAATTAAACTTTGTTCTTCAGCATCAATTTTCCTAGAAAGCCTAGTCAATGTTATAAAATAAAAGCAGTTATTTAATAGGTAGTTTTCAGTCAAGGGAGACCTGGAAGGCTGAGAAACTTTAATGCTGTGTAGTTTGCAGGCAATGGCAATCATACTAACAAGCATACCATAAAATGTAGTATGCCAACAGTTAGTTTTGCTATTTATTCCAGTGCGTGGCACAATAAATATTTGAATTAACACAAGGATTATCTCAACTTTGAAGATGCCCACATTTCCAGAGCATAGAGCATCTCTTTTAACAACTGCCAGAGATTTTTCTTAAGGGCAAAGATTATTTCAAGAAATTTATTAAAACTCCAGAATTTACCTTTGGATCTAAACAGATGTCAATCCACCTAAAATCGAGCCATCCATCCATTTGAGTCACGGTACAGAACCACTCTAAGTTGATTCCTTTAAAACATGCCAATAATCGCTATATTTGTATATGGCTATTGAATGATGATCTGATTAGCAGAAATCAAAGAATTCTTGAGCATAGACCAGTGTTTCTCAAATTGGGGTGATAAGAACCCTGGGGGTTTGTGGATATATTCTCATGGATCCCCTAAATCTATGAATTGTATAAAACATGTCTTTGACAAAAAATAACTTGAAATTAGAAAACATGTTTCCATTTCAAATAGCAATCTTAAGTCAGTGTTCCACAAAACACATTTTTCAGGATTTCAGAAAATTTTACTCCTTTAAAAGGTTTTCATCCTGAAGCGTAACTTAAGTTTAAGAAACAATGTCACAGACCTGTTTCCAAGAAGATTCAGGAGCATGACGCATACCATCATATATATGCTCCCTTAGCCAGAAAATGCCATTAGGCATTAGAGGGGAGAACAAGCTATGAGGAAACATGTATATGAATTAAAATGGGCAGTTAAGAGAAAAGCCCAGTTTGCATACATAGTTCTTGTTGCTCCTGCTCGAATACATGGATATGCAGGAAAAGAGGTTCAAATTTTGTTACAGAATGTTTTTTCAGCTGGTTCTTTGTGTTTGTTTTACATCAAGGTGGATAAGCTTCTTTTAGCTTACCAAGGTACCTGCTGAAAAGGCTTAGGAAAAAGGGTATATAAACTACAGCATAAAGTGGGCAAGATCAAGGGTTGTTATTTGTTTCTCTGTTTTTGTAAAACATTCTTTTCCATTGCTCTAGGCAAAGAGATTCCAAATTAAAGGCAGCCAAAGTATCAAACTTATAACCCCAAAACCCTGACCCTTGAAAATCTCAGGCTCATAAAACTGACAATCATCACTTTGCCAAGCTTGGCAAACAGTCAAACACAATGACTAGACCCTTTCTCTTCATACCTCCAAAAGAGGTAAAGAGGTTAAAAAAAATGACATTAAAACACACCAACTGGATTACAGATGGCTGCGTCAATCATATCCTGGCTCAAAGAGAGAGAATAAACCCATCTCCTTGAACTCTATCCTATCAACTTCAAATCACTTTTACAAACTTTCATAATTCATACAACACTTGACAATCATTTCCTACAGTTATTTGAAGTGTACTTATATTGGCTCAACAACAATCTCAGAAATAAAATCACATAGGATGATATCACTTCCATCCCTCATATCAGTGTAACCTAGCATAGGGCTGGGTATACAATATTAATTCTATAGTTCTACCAGTTTACAAATATAAACATATATATATATATATATACACACACACACACAAATATATATATTGCAGACAAGTTGGGAAGAGGCCAAGAGACTTGCAGGACCCTCTCACTTTTCTATGGGTGGCATTTAAGAGACAGAAAACAGCATAGGGAAAAGATTACTTAATAGCCACAAAGTAGTACTTACAGAATCTTAAAGAGCCAGAGACTCTTCTTGCAGCTGTCCAAGGAGCCAGTAGTGCAAACTGCACCCTGGGCTGGGCTGATCTTTCGGCATCCTTCTCAGAGTCATAGTATCCTTTTTCAGTGGTTAAAAAGAACTGCTGTTGTGATGACTAGCTATGTGCTTCAGCAATTCCACATTAAATACTCCTTTGGCATAAGACACTGTACACTAGAGGCCGGGATATTACTCCTTTTTACTAGGCAGCTATCCCACTGCTGAGATTTATGTTCAGAAGAATGATGAGGTAATGGCTTATTTTTCTTATAAAATGGGGAAACTGATCCCATCATTTCTATGGTTAAGTCCTCACTTCAGTGTGATGCTTCAAGCTATTAGCAGAACTAAATGGTGACCTATGGTTTTCAGAAGCACCTCAGCATTATGTTCTCTCATTTAATCATTTTTATAGCCATCTTCTTGAAATAATTAGAGGCTGGTGCTCCAGATGAAGAAATTGAAGGATTAGAACATTTAGATCATTTTTCTAAAAGCAAATGGTGGTAAAAACCAAACAAGGATTGATTTTAAAATGGTAGTACAGCCCAAAGATACTGATCTTAAGAGGTCCACTCCACTCCAGAACCCTTTTGGTAATGCCATAATTATAATACAAGAGTCACAGTGGTCTATCCACAGACCCACCACACTCGGTAAAATGAGAGACACTGATCATTAAGTACATAGTATAAATGGACTTTTCAGCTTAAAAAAATTAATGACCAGCCTATCAATTCCACCTTGTAATCCAGATGTCTTTCTTAAAAAACAAGCAATTAACAACGCTTCTGGTTGTATCCTAGCAGTCGGCACAGCACCACAGCAATACACAAAAGAAAGATTCTTAACCAGGCAATCTTCTCTGGAAGAAGAATGCAAAGAAAATCACAACTCTCCTCCAATCAACTGATCACTATATGTTAAATACCCAAAATACAGGATGGTATTTCAGCTCACTGAGCCTGATGTGCTGTAAATATTTTGCACAATAAAGCAATAATAGAGCTGGGAAGGAATGACTCCTGTACCCAGATTGTGACAATAATTGAAATCAGAATAATTAGCAATTGCAGGAAAAAAATGAAGGTTCATCCACATAGTTCCAGGCCTGCTTTTGTTAATGAATGCTGCACAAACACATCAAAGTGGTAGAGAGATCTTAAAGACAGGCTGCAAAGTGGGACAATCAGTATTGTGTTCATTCATTAATAACACAGAAAGGGCTTTGGGTAGTCAGCAGTGCTCAGAAGCAATGCAAAGTAAGTGGGAGGGGTCCATGTCTAATGGGCGGGACCAAGGAAAGTGCAACTGAGCCACTACAGCAATGCAAAGTGGGTAAAACAGTGGCATTTGGGATTAACATTTTAAGTCGAAGAGAGAGGGCCTTGTTCAGTCAACATTACATACCAAAAGAGGCAAAATGGACCAGGTGGGGGCAGATGGGACAGAAGGAGCACAATCTTTTCAAATGGCTGGACTGTGAGCATTAATAGTCCATGAGAAGGGTCCAAGGGCACACAAGGGGCAATGGAGAGGGAAAACCTTGCATAGATGGTGAGACCATGGCTACCTGGGAATGGAAATATAGGTTGTTCTTTGATGGACAAATGCATGGCATACTACAATTTATTGCACCATGGGAAAGAAAGTGTTGTTTAACAATGCCAGGGAGAGAAAAAAACCATTGATAATTGCCATTGTGCCTATTAACAGTCCCAGGAGAGGTTTCAAAGAGGTAAAGAACCATTGATTGTCATTGTGCCCATGAACAGTCCAAGGAGAAGTTTGGAGTGGCCAGCACACCCTGAAGTAATGCACAGGTTATGTAAGGGTGTATTACTCCAGTCTAACAGAAAGGGGGAGCCCAAGTGCAAATATTCAAGTTAATAGTTCAAGGTGTCACAGTTGGTCAGCACCCCTGTTACAAATGAAGAGGGTACAGGGTTTCCATCTGACAATCCGTATTCTCAATAAGTGTTATTGTTGCATATTAATTGCCCAAGAGCTGAGGTTATGGTTAGCTCTCCTCAGCTGCAATCACAAGGCAGTGGTAGGAGCATAGGGTTCTTTTCTACCACATAGGTCCACAGACCAATTATGTACATTAATATTCATGGAAAAGGGGCCAATACATAGTTAATATGCCCCTGATTCAAAAAAAAAGGAGTATAAGGAAGTGATACCCTAAGAGAGGAGCAATTGCATTAATGCACATTAAATCCAAAAGACAAGGCACTGAGTGCATAGCACCCCCTGCTGTAAAGCAGGGAGATTACAGGAGTTCTGGTATAGGACATACTTAGCAAACTGTTCATGTATGTGAGCTTTCCAAATAAAAATTCTTTTGTAGTGAGCACTACCTGCTGAAAATGCTAAGGAAGTTGATGGGACCCTTATCTAGTGAAGGGTACAGGAGAAAATGGAATTGCACTTAACACTCCCGCCAAACGAAGAGGGCCTTGGTTGAGCAGTACATCTTGCTGTACTACTAAGGAAAAGTGAGGGGATAAGACTTTATATGCTACTGACAAAGACAAAAGAAAATTTCAATTATGTACATTCATGATCCACTAGATGGGATCTGGGGGGGGGGGGGCAGTATCCCCTGCAGTAATGTAAAGGAGGTACATTGGTCTTGGAAGTAATGGGGATGTGGACAACTGCAATTATGCATATTAATTGTCCAAATTCAAAGGTCTGAGTCAGTGGAAACCACCTATTAAAAGGCATAGGAACTCAGAGGTGGGCTATCCTTGTTTAATGCACAAGAACCCAGACAAATATATTATGTGCATTAACAAACCAAGAAAAGGGAGCTTAGAGGTCAGCATCCCTGGTACATTGTAAATGGAGAGCAAGAGGATAGGATCTTGGTCAAATAGGATGAACAATGTCATGATTACATACATTAATGTCAAAGGCATCCAGTTGTGGTCAAGTAAAAACCATTTATTTTGTACAAACATTAAGATATTAAAGTAGTAGGTGGGCTTAGCATTACCTACTGTACAGGAATATGAACAAGTACATGGGAACTCATATATAGTCACCCACATAACAGGCCAAGAACATGGGCCTTGATGATCAGCACCCCGGCTGTACTGCAAAAGGGGTCTGAGTAGGATCTCATCTAAATAGGACAAGCCACACGCAGTTACACACATCAATGTCCAAGGTGCATTGTGGTCACTTAAAATTGTGCACCTTCACTGTCCAAATTCAATGGTTTTATGGAGTAGGTATCTTTGCTGATATGGAAAGGAAGATTAGGTTGGGGTTGGAGCAAGAAAGACTTTCTTGTCTAGCACACAGATTATAATCACCCATTTAACAGACCAAGAATATGGGCCTTGGTAATCAGCACCCCTGCTGTACTGCATATGGGGCCTGAGAGTAGGATCTTATTTAAATAGGATGAGCCACATGCAGTTATGAACATTAATGTCCAAGGTGCATGGTCGTGGCATTTATAATTGTGAAACTAGACTGCCCACATGTAATGATCTTATGGAGTGGACATTTCTTCTGGAAGGAAAACGCTAGGAGCAGCAGAGGGTGGAAGGAAGTAGGTTTCCTCGTCTAATACATGGGAACTCAGACAAATATAATCACCCACATAACAGGCCAAGGTTACAGGCCTTACTTCTCAGCACCCCTGCTATACTTCAAAAGGGTTCTGAGAGTAGGAGCTTAATCAAAATGGGACAAGCCGCATGTAGTTAGTTATGCACGTTGATATCCAAGATCCATGGCTTTGGTCACTTACAATTGTGCACCTTGACTGTTCCCATGTAATGTCTTATGGATTAGGCATCAGAACTGGAAGTGAAAGGAAGATGAGGGCCAGGAGGAGCAGTGGGAAATGCCTTTTCTGGCACACAGGAAACTGGACGAATATAATCAACCACTTAACAGGCCAATAATAGGTTCCTTAGTGATCAGCATTCTTGCTGTACCACAAAATGGGATGAGCCTTGTGCACTTATGTACATTAATGTCCACGGTACATGGTTGTGGTCACTACAATTGTGCACCTTGACTGTAATGGTCATATGGAATGGACACCTCTGCTGCAAGGGAGAGGAAGATGGGGTTAGCGATGGAGCAGGGGAGGCTTTCTTGTCTAGAGAAAGCAGGAAACTGGGGGCCAGCACTGTGGCACAGCAGGTTAGAGCCACAGCCTGTAGTGCCAGCATTCCATATAGGTGCCAGTTCAAGACCCGGCTGCTCCACTTCCCCTCCAACTCCTGCTGGTATGCCTGGCAAAGCAGCAGATGTCCCAGGTCCCTGGGCCTCTGCACTAATGTGGGAGACCCAGAGGAAGCTCCTGGCTCCTGCTTTCAGCCTGGCCTAGGCCAGGTTGTTGCAGCCTTTTAGGGAGTGAGCCAGCAGATGGAAGATCTCTCTCTCTGTAATTCTGCCTTTCAAATAAATAAGTAAATCTTTAGAAAGCAGAAAATTGAACAAATATAATCACCCGTGTAATAGGCCAACATGTGGGGCCTTGGTGATCAGCATCCTTCTGTATTGTAAAAGGAGTAGGATCTTATTCAAATGGATGAGCCACGTGAAGTTATGCACGTTAACATCCAAGGTGCATGGCTGTGCTTCTTTACAATTGTGCACCTTGTTCTCCCAATGTAAGATTTATGGAGTGGGCATTTGTGCTAGAAAGGAAAGGAAAGGTGGGGGAGGGGTGAGCAAGGGAGGCTTCCTTGTCTAGTATACAAGAAACTGGATAAATACAGTCACCCACATTAACAGGCCAATATAGGCCTTGGTGATCAGCACCTCTGCTGTACTGCAAAAGGAGCCTCATAGTAGGATCTTATTTAAATGGGATGAGCCACGTGCAGTTATACACGTTAATGTCCAAGGTGCTTGGCTGTGCACACTTACAGCTGTGTCCCATTTCTATATAAACATAAGAATTTTATGGAATCAGCATCCCTGCTTGAAGACAAGGTAAAATTGGTGACGGGAGAGGAGGGATTTCCTTCTCTGGTGCATATAAGCACTCAAGGACAAATACCATCACTTATATTAGTAGGCCACAAATTAAAGCATCAGTGGTCAGCATTCCTATAGTACTTTTTTTTGGGAATTTGAAGGGGAAGAATCCTAATGTAGTTGTCATTATGCAACTACATTAACAGTTTAATAAAGGGGCCTTAAGTGAACACTGTCTCATGCAATAAAGCAAAGACGGTGTGAAAAGTCAGAGTCCCAAGTCTAACTTGAAGGATCACTGACAGATGCAATCATATACAACTACAGACCCAAAAGGAGGGTTTTATGTCGGTTATCATTCTCTGCTTTGATAAGTACAGGAGTCCTGATCTAAAAGACAGTTCTGGACAACTGAGTGTGTGTTGAGAACAATTAAGATTGTGCACTGTGGCTTTAAGTACCTCCTGCTGTAATGCAAATAGAGTGGGTGGAGTCCTTACCTGGTATACAGGTAAGGAATACAGGACTGAAAGTATAAGATTAACAATTCAAAAGAGTAAATCTTAGCCTCTGCAGTAATGCAAATTAGGCAAGAAGATGGTATCCTGCTCTAATTTGAGGGTGAATAGATTGCTATTAATTGTGCGCATTCCAATGGTATAGGAAAGGCAGCCATAGCTAGCCAGCATTCTGGTTGTTATGCTAAGGAGATGTGAAGGGATGGGACCCTAGGGTTATTTTGTATCACAATATGCACATTTATAGTCCCAAGTATCCCCTAAGGCAATGCAAATGGAGCCTGAGGGGATGGGATCCCAGAATAACAGGAGATATCAGCAATATCAAGACAAGGGGCCTCAGGTAATCAAGCACCCTCTTGATGTAAAGCAAAGAAAGTGGCAGGGATTTTGACTTTTAAAAAGACTCAATTCTAATAAATTAAAATTGCGCATATCAACTGTCCTAGTGCAGATCTTGAGTAGGAAAGGTCTCCCAGAATGAAGGGAGTGGATGAGGCCAATGCACAAGATCATAGACAAATGCAATTACGTGCATCATCAACTCAAGGAAAGTAACCTTGGGTGATCATCCCACTATTATAGAATGCACACAGGATATATTGGCCCTTCTTCAGTGGATAGCACTCTGGACAACTGTAACTGCAAATTAACTGTCCAAGAGCTGGGTTCTTGAATAATGTGCACCCCCTAGTGACAACACCCAAAAGATACAATGGGGTGCAAATACATTTTTGTTGTGTAAGACACACATGATATGCAATTAATGTATTTCAACTGTTTAAGAGAAGGGATCTCGGGTAGTCAACTCCTCAGTGCAATATAGTATAGAGGTAGAGGACATCCTACATTAAAGGATGTGGCCATGGGAAAGAAAGGTTTTACATATTAATGCAAAGTGGTTGGCAAGTTGCACAACCTAGGAGCAAAGAGCATAGGTGGGTTTCTTTTGTTAGGACAATATACAACTGTAGTTGTATTCATCCATATTTCAAGAGAAGGGACTTTGAGAATGAGCACTTCTGCTGTGGTGCAAAAATGTTGCAAATGCCCTTATTTGTAAAGAACAGGAATATGGACAATTGTGATGTTTGTTACTGGGAAGAGGAAAAAACCCTAGTCTCAGGTGATTAGCACTGCCTCAAGGCAAATACAAAGAGAATTGGAGGTCCTCATGATTAATGGGCAAGACAATGAACAATTACTGTACTTTAACTGCTCAAGAACAGCAGGACTTTCCAAATGCAGGGCAAGATGGGCAGTAGAGTATCTTTGTTTAATGGATAAGTTTATGACACCTGGGATTGAGCACATTAATTGTTCCACAAAACACTTGGGTTGTTTGCTCCCCCTGAATACAAATGCGGTTTGGACTAACATCTAATCCAATGGGTAGGATTATGGAAAATTAGAGTTTCATTCAATGCAGAGCTTTAGGTGGTCAACACAGTACATGAGAAAAGACCACTGAGCACTTCTCAGAAAACCGGGACTTCAACTACTGCAGCAATGACAGTGGAAAGGTTTCTCCTTCCTTAAAGGCAAGGGATTGAGACGTTGATGAGTAACTCGAATTATGGGCAATAATTCCCTCATATGAAGTTCTCAGTTAACATTTCTTAACATTAACATACAGAGTACAGGAAGTCTTTAACATAGGACCATGGACAAAAGGAATTGTATGCATTAACTGAAAATGGCAACTCAGATGGTCAGCATTTAAGATCATCAATGCCAGTAAAATAAGATGAGCAACGGACAACTTATTGAGTGCTCAACAAATGAAAATTGGAGTGGGTCTAGGGAGCAGCCAAGCTTTGGCTGAGTGGCTAAGACTGAGGTTAGGGCTGGGTTTTGGAGTGGGGAGCTCTGGGCTGGGGCTGGGGCTGGGGGCTGGGGGCTGGGGCTGGGGCCGGGGCCGGGGCCGGGGCCGGGGCCGGGGCTGGGACTGGGGTCGGGGCAGGGGCTGGGGCTGGGGCTGGGATTGGGCCTGGGGACTGGGCTGGGGACTGGGCTGGGGACGGGGCTGGGGCTGGGGCTGGGGCTGGGCTGGGGCTGGGGCATGGACATAGCTCGGGCTACCCTTGGGGGTTGCTGTGAGCAAGGTTGGAGAGGCAGGAAACCATACAAAATTGAAATGTAGGCATTAATACTCCAATACAATGTGTCTGATTAGAGGGCACAAGACCACAGAAATTCAAGTTTCCTGCCTGATAGGTAGGTAGGTCATTAATCAATTAGTGCAGCATCAAGTATAGGAATAAAGCAAGGCCTGGGTGGGTGTGAAGACCTTCAAATACTTTATTATTCTTGGTCATGAAGTTTTTTAATTAACTGTTTCTGTGCTACAAAATTCTTGACAGATTCGAAGGGAAGTAGTTTGTTAAGCCAATTTCAAAGAACATAATCAGAAATAAAAGTTTTTAAATGTCAGATGATTTGAATTTGACTATCTACTACCAAAACTAGTTTATGAATTTATAGAGAAATTTAAGGAATTCTATGGAATGCAAAATGAAAGCTCATTAAGTGCAACTAAAATGAATTCTACAAATTAAAAAAGTCACAAAATACATTTCTATACTAGTCACTTAAGACTTAAATTGGAACACTAGCAAACCACATAGTCAGACTATTAAGACTGACATCCAAAAAAATAATATAAATCAAAATCCGACCCCAGCATTAGCCACGGGGTAGATGTTCCTCCTGAGAAAGGCAGGATTTCCCTTCGATCATCTGTGATCCATTCTGGTCCTTGCCACAGCTCACCACCATGTCCACACCAGGCAGGCCTGGAGCACTGCCGGTGGCCACAGTGCAGGGAGGACCACAGGCCAGGGCGGGAGTAGATTAGCCAAAGGCCATTGCATCAATACAGAGGAATGTGGGTGGGGTTCAGCCCACATAGCCAGATATCCAGCACTGCAAGAGACCATGTCTGGAGAGGAGAGGACAAACAAGAGGGAAGGGAGGTAGAAAGGCCAAATGTCCTTGAAAAGACCTTGGAAAGAACTTTAATACCACCCACTGGGAGGGGCACACTACATGGCCGCTCCACTTCTTCGTCCTGACTGGCTGAAAAAAGAAAGCTGCAAAGAGCCATGCTAACTCACCCACATCCTCGCTCAGTAACTGGACAGTGCATCGACAGTCTAATTCCATCCTCCATGCTAATTGGCTGTGCCTAATCCACCCTCATTTCTGATTGGTTAAGTCATGCGGCAATCCAGCACCCGGTTTTCTCCTGCTTTGACCGGCAAAATGCGGCAACGCCCGCCATCTTTAACAATGCCGTAGGTCCACCTTGCGCAAAGCCCGCCAATTTACCGAGCAAAAACGCGCCATGACGTCCACGTGACAAATCTCCATGATAACCACATGATATCGTCAGCCATATTGTCCCTGCGGCAAAACCCGCCACGAAATGCACACGGCAAAGACAAAGACGCCCGCCATATTTTACACTGCGGCAAGGGTTTCAGCCGCCATCTTTCACTGTGTGACCGAACTCTGCCACCATCATGCTGCGCATTACAAAAAAAGACCCCACCCATCATGATGTGGCCTTCCCGCCACTTTAACGTTGCGGCCGAACTGAATCCGCCATTTTAGACGATTTAACAAAGCACAGGGAGCCATGCTGAGAAACGCTGCAATGGCAAAAGCGCCATTTTGAGCCCAGCACTTTTAAGTCCTGTCTCATTTTCAACTTAACGCCTCGTACTGCTGCAGGACAATCTTGTTTTCCGGCATCCCAGTACCACAATTCATGCAAAGCTGCTAACAAGCACCAAGTCAGCTGATTCGATTACCTTTAGCTCGTGCAATGCACATGACTACCTCTGCCTCGCCCGCTATCCATCTTGCTTTCCTAATTTAGATTTAACACAACTGACTAGTCAGCCAAATTATGAGGCAACTCTAAAATGGCGGATATTTTTCCTCCAAAGCCTGAACACCCCCTTAGCTTAACTGCAAAGTCATTCCCCTGCCAAAGCCGTAGGTTCACTCACACACCACCAAACGATCAGCAGCAAAAAGTGTAGATATTCCAGATAGTGCGACAACCCACAGAACCAACACATTTTCATCCATGAAAGGCCCCGATGGGCGATGGAAAAAAAAAATCAGAGCAGGTATCCGGGGCCCCGATGGGCCAGAAAAAAAAAAAAATCAGAGCAGGTATCCGAGGCCCTGATGGGCAAAAAATTTAAAAAAAAAAATATAAGCAGGTATCCGAGGCCCCGATGGGCCAAAAGCCAATTCAAAAACAAAACAAAACAAAAAAAACCACAAAAACAGGTATCCGTTGCCCCGATGGGCCAGAATTTGGGGGGCAAAAGGGGGCACTGCAGGTATCCGAGGCCCCGATGGGCTAAGGAAAAAAAAATTAAAAGCAGGTATCCGCAGCCCCGGTGGGCTAATTTTCTTTAAAAAAGGAATTAAGACAGGTAGCTAGAACCCTGTTGGGCAAAGAAAAAATAATAAAACCAGGTATCCATAGCCCCGATGGGCAAAATATGGAAATGTAGGAGAAAAGAAATCTGAACCCCCAAAACAGAGGAGTCAACCAAAAATCATTTCAAAGGGCAAAAAATCCTTGAAAAAATGAAAAATTGCCCATGAATATTCGAAATGCTTGAAAAATAAGGAGGAGGTGTCAAGAAGATATCAGGAAAAAGTACAGAATTCTTAAAACCCTTTATGTCATTTTGGTGATTTTTCTTAAGAAATGCCCCATAAGCGATTGGGGGGGAACTGGAAAATGTTCCAGAAAGAACCATAAGTACAGAAAGAACTATGGCTAGCGAGCTTCCAACCTCGGGAGAAGTAGAAATATGGCTGCTGCAGCAAAATGCAGCGCTTTAAGAATTGAGGGGGGGTTGGGGGCGGGGTGAACAAGAGGCGTGGCCCCCGCTGATTGAAGGCCCGACATCTTAGAGGTTTGGTCGACTCAAGCTGTACCCAGTAACCAGCAAAATGAGGAGAGCTGAAGAAAACAGGGGGATCCTAGAAAAAATTCTAAACTGGAAAAGGGGTCATTTCTACTTCAAGAGTAAGTTCTCATCTATAGAACAGAAACGGTGTGTAAATCCACAGTTAACTGATAGAATTGTCCACAAACTGCATAATGGTGTTAGTTTAGTTTGTCATTGAAATTGAGGGGTGCTTTCATATGTTGGTAAAATATCTGAAACCCTCGTTAAACCAGAACGTGTAATCCCCACCACCACCAAACTTTCGAACCAAGGAAGTTAAGAAAGGGTAGTACCTTAAGGTTAGAGCCATCTTCCAAGGACTTTCTCTTCCATTACCAAATACAGGTGAAGAATCATTCATAGATTAGGAAACAAAGGTGAAATTATGTGCATGAAGTCACACACCCTCGACTCCCCAGTCCCTGCATTTTCTACTCCAATACTTTGTCTCCCATAGCCCCAGGTGATAAGAGACTCTAACTGCTTTTGCAGCCAATTGATTAACAAAAGAAGACAGTCAGGTAGACATTTAACAGAATGGCTGTGTGGTCCCTAGTCTGTCAGCAGTTAGTGAGTCCCTAACTTTTACTTCCTTACTTTTCTACTTCGTTGAATCTGATAGCTCCAACTTTGCACAGTAGTGAGGTTTACCTACAGACTGGTAATGGAGATAACTGGTAGAAAATAAAGTTCACGTAAAATCCAAAGCTGTCCCATCTCCTCCCCAGAAACCTGGCAATTTCATTAGAAAGTGATGTCATAAACTGTCCTATAAAAAGTTTGACAGAGAAACAGAGGATGGAGAGAAAGACAGCCAGAGTGAGAGCAACAGCAAGAGTGAAAGTGGGAATGGATACATTCTCCTCTCCCGGCCTAAACTGGTAAGTGTAACATCAAGCCTACTACCCAACAGGTAACCTGCCCTTCAGTGGCCATTTAAATAACAAAAGCACATAAAATTTTCTTCATTAAGAGATACTCCCAGTGTGGTTAAGTGCCCTTGCTTCACAGGGAAATGCCTTAAGACTTGTAGTTCCAAATGAAGGAGATTGCAAAGCAAAGTGATACCTTTGAGAAAACAATGTCTAATCAAAGAAAAAGAAATCTAATACTAAAATTTCAGTCTGGAAGATAATTTCTAAAAGAACCTTCCTGAAGACCCCTCAAATCAAACTGGAGCATAAGCCTACAACTCAAGACCTTCTATGTTTTGCATATTTGGGAGATGAAATGTACTTAAGTTATTTTTAAAATATAATCCTGAATCTCTTTAAACTATGATTTCACCCTAATTTAAATTTTCACAAATTTCTAATTAAATGAGTCTGAGAAAAGGAGTGTTTTGCTGTATAAATCAATAAATCAAAATGAAGGAATATTTATTTCTTTGCTCTTCATCTAAAAGCTGGTGACAGCATGGGATCTAAGAGGAGAGGACCATGGATTTACTTAGATAACTGGTTGCATTTTAGTGGACTAAATCTATGTTGGCAAAACTGCCTTGCATGTCAGATTTCTCTAAGGAGAACTGTAGAATTTGTATGCAGTTTACAAATCACTGTAATCATCATGGTATCTTATAAAAATAAACAAGCATACCTGTAGAAGACTCTAGTTACAACCACTTTGATATCAGTCCGTAGAAAGAAAAAAATGGCTGTGAAAGTAATAGTCTTATAACAAATGGGATCTCAACCTGCATGACACACAGAACCTAAAAAGACTACCACTATCAACAGTATTATCAGACCACCTATACCAGTCTTAAATTTCTTTCCTAAAGGACATGGACTACTAATATCACCAAAATCCGACCCACTATGGAATTTAATCGGTTCCAGCTTGTTGTATCTTAAGCACACGATACCAAAAAATTATGGTCACTAGGCCTCTAAATGTCACCCAGATCCTTGTCCTGAAATTTATGAAGCACCCATCCAGATGATTGGCTTACCCTGCTTCTAAATCTCTTTCCGATAGAAATTCCTAAAATTATTCAAATGTTCTACGGTTTTTAGACTTTGGATTAGGTAAAATGTTCTTAAACAAGAATCAACAGGCATTGAAAGTAAAACCCTTTGTCTTACAAAAACACCTTAAGAATGAAAAGACAAAAGAACAAGTCATAAACTGGCCAGATCTGGTTCCAGGAGGGTAGCCAGCCTTGCAGCTCACTTTCATTGGCTGTTCCAGTATTTTTTTCCTGGGACGCCCGGGGATTAGGCCTCCAAAATAGTACTGATCTGCTAACTGCGGGTGACATTCATATTGGACACAGAACATGTCCAGTGCTGGCTTTTAAGGGTAAAGTAATGGCAGAATCCTGAAGAATCCTGGCTTTGGTCTGGGCCAGCCCCGGGCCATGGTAGCCATTTTGGGGAATGAAACAGCTCATGGAAGATTTCTGTTTGTCACTCTGCCTTTCAAATAAATAAATAACAACTTTTTAAAAACTAAAGAAATGGCAGAAGCAAGAAACCTATATTGTTTAAATGCAAACAAGTCCTAAACAGCCACTGACCATTTACTGGTTTACTGCCTGCAGGCTTTATATCCCTGCCCCCACCAGCCCTCAATCCTCCACTTCACTTCCTCCCCTTCATGACCTACGTTCACCTTCACTAGTGCTTGGCAACACTATAGAAACCCTTTGGGATCACATATGTAGAAACCGAAATAATAAAAGAGAAAGTAACTTGTTTAAATTCGGTTAGCTAGTCAGACCCAAATGGAAATGCTCCGGGCACATTCTATGCCTACGATTAGCTGCATCCCAATCTTCTAATTTGGGCTTCCAAATGCAACACAACAGGAAGAAACCAAGGTCTCTTCTACAGAGATTCAGATGACACCGATTCTAGGCTTGTCATTTTCTTGACACGTAGTTCCCCACCCCAGCTACGCTGGGACTTAAAAAAAAAAAAAAAAAGGCAGCCATTGCATGATTTGGTCACCAGATGGCAGCATGAACATAAAATTGCCAAAGAAGTACTGAGTCTGGTTTGCAGTAAAGGAGACCGACAAGCTGCACTAGGATCTGAACTTAAAGGGAAAAAGACGTAATCACACTCGTTCCATATCAGAAGAAAGGGTGAAAGAAAATTACTCGTCCCCCGCCGTCCCCGCCGGTGGCCGCGCCGTGCGCTCACCTTGGCGGCGTGCAACGCGCCCTCAGCGCGCGTAGAAACCCGGGGCGGGTGCGGAGAGCCCTTCGTCCTGGGAAACGTGGTGCTGCCAGAAAAGCGGCCGCTGTCTCGCCCGCCACGCAACGAACGTTCGTGGGGAACCTGGCGTTAAACGACTCGCTTCTGACTCGGAGTTTCGTACGTAGCAGAGCAGCTCCCTCGCTCGATCTATTGAAAAGTCAGTCCCCGGACACAGGGGTTTAAAAAAAAAAAAAAAAAAAAAACTGCTCAAACGCTTTCTTTAGTGGGAGTTCGACCTTAGCTTCCGGGCAGAGCTATTTAAAAAAGACATTAATAAAGAATAGAAGGTTGAATTAGCAGCTGGGTGGGGACCCTGCAAATTGTTACCAGTGAAAAGCAATTACAATGACAAGGACATTTTATGGAGAAGAGAAGACAAGACCTGGGGAAGGGCTCTTTACAACCGGGAAAGGCTGTTTGCTATGGTAGAAAGCGTTTGTTCATCTTGTTGGTAATGCTGTATAAATAAGGATATCTGAGTACTCTGAGCCGTCCAAACTTGGGACAGACTGCTGCCAGAGCTGTTGACATGCTGATCGCTGATGGTGCACAAGCCGGTGGCGGATTTATAGGCATGCTACGGAGAAAATCATCAGATAAAAAAAAGGTAGGCCACACTCCCTGTTACGTTTCTTTAAATAGCCCCAAATCCTATCAACCTCATCATAGTGTAAATTATCATATGTTTCGTGGCTATATCAGCATGTTGGGAGGTTTCTAGTTTATCAAAAAGCAACATGTTTTGTGGCAGGGGTTAGACTGTCACTTGAGGAGCCGGTGGTGTAGCTTAGCGGGTGAAGCCGCTGCCGGCACTTAATATGGACGCCGGTTTGAAACCTGGCTGCTCCACTTCCAATCCAGCTCTCTGCTGTGTCCTGGGAAGGCAGTAACGGATGGCCCAAGTCCTTGGGCCCCTGCACCTGTGTGGGAGACCAGGAAGAAGCTCCTGGCTCCTGGCTCCTGATCCGCACAGCTCCGGCCGTGGCGGCCATTTTGTGAGTGAACCATCGGATGGGAGACCTCTCCCTCTCTCACTCTGCCTCTCTCTCTCTGTGTAACTCTGACTTTCAAATAAATAAATAAATCTTTAAAATAAAATAGCACTTGGGATGTCTGCATCCCATGTCAGAATGCCTAGATTCAAGTCCCAGGTCCACTCCTGATTCCAGCTTTCTGCTAATGCACTCCCTGGGAAGCAGCAGAGTTCAAGTGCTGCCACATGGGAGACCTGGATTGAGTCTGTTGCAGGCATTTAGAGGAGTTAATCAGTGGGTGGAAGATACCTCTCTGGGTCTCTCCCCTTTTCAAATGAAAATTTTAAAAATTATTAAAAAGAGATTATAAAAGTCAAAGATCAGTGAGCATATATTAAAAATACTGTTTAAAGAAATATTGAACTCAATTGTATACATGTAGAAATGCAAATTTACTTTGAAACACATCAAAACACCACATGAACAAATGCATGAATAGTTAAGTGGTTATAAGCTTAGTAGTATATTAATGGTAGAGCCTAATGTAGTTTTCTTTCATCCTTGCTGCGTGATTTAAAAATTTGGTAGTCAAAATGAACTGTTGAGTGGGGAGCCATACCCTGAGAATGCCAGAGGAGAGTACTCCAAAAATCCATCCATCTACTGCAACAACCATTAAAGTACAAGGAAACTGTCAGAATGAACAGCTTTGGAACTCTGGAATCTAATTAAAACCAGAACAACTGCTTCATGAAGAAAGGCTGCTAAAATTCATAAAGAGAGCATTGTGTTGTTTTGGGTTACCCACCTAAGTACTCTGCATTTTCAGGCCAGCGTGGCAGCTGGCTGTGTTTCTAATGTTGCCTGCTGGTGCTGCAAGGAGTGATGTGGGTCTTGTTCTCAAAGCACTGTAATTGGGCATTTTGATTTGCCTCAGGGCTCAGGGCTTGCTTTGGTTGCACACACCTCAGAATTCTCTCAGCCTCCAAAGTGGTGCCCAGTTAAAGCATTTAAAGACACACATTATTCACAGACACATGGAGCAAAGGCCAAGAGATGGGGCAAGTGGCAGACAAACGAAAACACCCTGGACGAGTAGAGGGCAGAAGATACCTGAGGGAATAAAGGTGTTTGAAAGCTCTCATAGACACTGGAGAATCAAGCAGAGCATGGGCATCACCAGGGCTATACACTCGCCCAGAAAAGGCCTGAAAAGAATGCAAATATGCACTTAGGAGTGATTTACTTAAAAATCTGGCTGACCTTTGGGCTCCATGTATGCAGAAGGAAGAATTTTAAGTATCTCAGCTAGGCCTTGGAAGAGTGTCACAAATCAGAGCCAATCTGCAAAGAAAAATAACTATAACCTAAAAAGGACCAGCAACAAGCACTGGGGACAGAGAAGGACTGTATGTAAAGAATGATGTCATTGTAACATTTGAATATTACGTATACCTATTTAATTATATATTAGAGGCCGGCATTTTGGCTCAGTTGATTAAACCACTGCTTGCGATGCCAGCATTGCATATTGGAGTACCAGTTTGAGTCCTGGCTGCTCTGCTCCCATCCAGCTTCCTGCTATTGCACCTGAGAAGGCAGCAGAAGATGACCCAAGTGCTTGGGCCCCTGCCACCCACTTCTTGGGAGATCCACATGGAGTTCCTGGCTCCTGTCTTCGGCCTGGCCCAGCTCTGCCTGTTGCAGGCATTTGGAGAGTGAATCAGCAGATGAAAGTTCTGTGTGTGTGTGTGTGTGTGTGTCCGTCTGTCTCTTCTGTCACTCTACCTTTCAAATAAGTTAAATAAATATTTTTAAAATAATATATTACAAATGTGTACTATCCACAATAAAAATCACAAGACATACAAATAAAAAATATTTATTTACACTGGGAATAAAATGGAATTTAATAATTTCCGACTTAATGACTGTTTTGTCCAGTATCTCCTACACACTTTTGATTTTTATTTGCCTGGAATATCTTTTTCTATCCCTTCACTTTTAGTCTGTATGTCAGTAAAATTGAAGTGAATCTCTTGTTATTTAATTTTTATACACTCAGCTGCTCCAGGTCTTTTGATTGGAGAATTTTATCCATTTAGTAAAGATAATTTTTGATAAAGTCTTACTATTGTCATTTGGGTCCTTCTTTTCTGCTTGTTTGGTAGATTCTTTCTTCCTCTCTTGCTATCTTCCTTTGTGAACTGAATTTCCATAGTGTATGGAATTTTTCCTTTTTATGTTTTGTGTATTTACTGTAGGTTTTTACTTTTGTTATCATTTGGCTTACACAAAACATCTTATACTTAAAACTGATCATTTTTACGCTGAAAACAACTGTACTTTGATCACATTAAAAATTATACTTTTGGGGCTGGCACTATGGCATAACAGGTAAAGCCACTGCCTGCAATGCGGGCATCCCATATGGGCACTGGTTCGAGTTCCAGTTGCTGCACTTCTGATCCAGCTCTCTGCTGTGCCTGAAAAAGCAGTAGAAGATGGCCCAGGTCCTTGGTCCCCTGCACCCGCATGGGAGACCCGGAGGAGGCTCCTGGCTCCTGGCTCCTGGCTTCGGATCGGCGCAGCTCTGACCGTTTCGGCCATCTGGGGAGTGGATGGGAGACCTCTTTCTCTGTCTCTACTTCTCTCTGTAGCTCTTTCAAATAAATAAATAAAAAAAAAAATCTTAAAAAAAAAAAAAAGAATTTCCTCTAATGCAGGCCTTGAGGTGATGAACTCCCTTAGCTTTTGTTTATCTGGGAAAGTACTTCTCACTCATTTCTGAAGGACAGCTTTACTGGTTAAAGTATTGTTTGTTGTTAGAGATTTTTTTCCTTCTGCCCTTTAGAAAATATCCTCTCACCATCTCTTGATCTGCAATGTTTCTGCTAAGAAATCCACTAATAGCTATATGAATACCAGATCTCCCCTTTATGTGATGTGCTTTCTTGTCTATTGCAGTTGAGATAATTCCTTTTTGTCCTGAATTTTTATTATAATGTATCTTAGTGATCTCTTCTTTGGGTTGAATTTAATTGGAGACATCTGATTTCCTGGTCTTGGATTTTTTTTTTAATCTTTCCACATTTGGGAATTTCTTGCCAATATTTCTTTTTTTTGTTTTGTTTTGTTTTGTTTTTTTGTTTGTTTGTTTTGACAGGCAGAGTGGACAGTGAGAGAGAGAGAGAGAAAGGTCTTCCTTTTGCTGTTGGTTCACTCTCCAATGGCTGCCGCGGCCAGCACACTGCGCTGATCCGAAGGCAGGAGCCAGGTGCTTCTCCTGGTCTCCCATGGGGTGCAGGGCCCAAACACTTGGGCCATCCTCCACTGCACTCCTGGGCCATAGCAGAGAGCTGGCCTGGAAGAGGGGCAACCGGGACAGAATCCGGTGCCCCGACCGGGACTAGAACCCAGTGTGCTGGCACCGCAGGCGGAAGATTAGCTTATTGAGCCGCGGCGCCGGCCCTTGCCAATATTTCTTTAAATAAGTCGTGTATCTCTTTCTGCTTTCTCCATCTCTACCATTACAAAAATGCTAGCTCTCTGTCATTTTTAAAGGATTATTTTATTTATTTGAAAGGCAGAATTACAGAGAGAGAATCTTCCAACGCTGGTTCACTTCCCAAATGGCCACAACAGCTGGGGCTGGGCCTGGATGAAGCCAAGAGCCTGGAACTTCATCTGGATCTGCCACATGGGTGGTAGAGGTCCAAGCACTTGGACCATCCTCTGCTGCTTTCCCAGGCACATTAGCAGGGTGCTGGATTGGAAGTGTGGAAGTGAAGCAGCTGGGACTCAAACAAGTGCCCATATAGGATGCTGGTGTCTCGGGTGGTGACTACCTACTACGCCACAATGCCGGCCCTAGCAACTGATATTTCTAATACTCTGTAAGAGAGAGAGGTCTCTTAGACATACTTTATGTTTTATCTCTTTTATTTTAAAAATATTTATTTGTTTGAAAGGCAGACTTACAGAGAGAGCCAGGAGCTAGGAACTGCATCCGGATATCCCACAGCGGTGACGGGGCCCAAGCACTAGGGCCATCTTCTGTTGCTTTCCCAGATACATTATTAGGGAGCTGAACCAGAAGTGGAGCTGTACCACAGCACCAGTCTCACTAGCTACAATATTGAATCGGCCTAAAAGTACATCAACAGATGAATGGACAAAGAAAATGTGGTATTTATGCACAATGAAATAATATTCATCCATCCAAACAGATGAAATTCTATCATTTGTGATGCCATGGATGAACCTGGAGGACATTATGTTGAGTGAAATAAACCAGACACAGGAAGACAAATACCACACAATCTCACTCATGTATGGAAATTTTTGAAATTGGTTTTATAAAAGTAGAGAGTAGGATGGTGGTTACCAGAGGCTTGGTTAGTTGGAGCAAGGAACAGATGGAAAGACTTCGATCAAAGGGTATGTAATTACAGTTATATAGGATGAATATAAAAATATGCCCAGAATAGGAAAATATGAGGCAGCAGATTAGTGATTGCCTGAGTCTAGGTGCTAGAGGGGAGGGTAGGAGGACATGAGGAATGACTACTCATGGAGTTTCTTCGCTGGGTAACAAAAATTGACTGTGGTGATGGTTGTATAACTCTGTGAA